GAGGAGGAGGAAGAGGAGAAATGAGAGGAGAGAGGAGAGGAGAGGAGAGGAGAGGAGTGGAGTAGAGGAGAAAGGCGAGAGGATGAGAGGAGGCCAGGAAGAGAGGAGGGGAGGAGAGGAGGAGGATAGGAGAGGAGGATGAGGTGAGGAGAGGAGGAGAGGGAGACAGGAGAGTGGAGACAGGAGAGAGGAGAGAGGAGAGGAGAGGAGAGAGGAGGGGAAAGGAGGGAAGGGGAAGGGAGGAGAGGGGAGGGGAGGGGAGACAGGAGGAGAAGGAGAAGGAGGAGAAGGAGGAGGCCCAGGCACCCGACTTTGTTTTTCCCGGAAAGGGCATAGGACCAGGGTTCTCTTTTAGTATGTAAACATGTCCCGGGTGCCCAACTTGAAGGAGGCCGGCGGATTCTTTCCCTGATAAATATCGAGGTCGAAGGAGGCCGGCGGATTAAAATTTGAGGATGTCTCAGGCGAAACGCTTGTTTTTGAAATCCTGATCGATAAATCACAGGGTGCGGGACACCTCAGCACGACCACACCCCCAGCATGACCACACCCCAGCACGACCACGCCCAGCACGACCACGCCCCAGCACGACCACACCCCAGCACGACCACACCCCAGCACGACCACACCCCAGCACGACCACACCCCAGCACCAGCACGACCACACCCCAGCACGACCCGATCGATAAATCACAGGGTGCGGACCACCCCAGCACGACCACACCCCAGCACGACCCCATCCCAGCACGACCCCACCCCAGCACGACCACGCCCCAGCACGACCACACCCCAGCACGACCACACCCCAGCACGACCACACCCCAGCACGACCCCACCCCAGCACGACCCCACCCTAGCACGACCACTCCCCAGCACGACCACACCCCAGAACGACCACACCCCAGCACGACCCCACCCAAGCACGACCCCACCCCAGCACGACCACACCCCAGCACGACCACACCCCAGCAGGACCACACCCCAGCACGACCCCACCCCAGCAAGACCACACCCCAGCACGACCACACCCCAGCACGACCTCACCACAGCACGACCACACCCCAGCACGACCACCCCCAGCAACGACCACGTCCCCAGCACGACCACGCCCCAGCACAACCACCCCCCAGCACGACCACCCCCCCAGCACGACCACACCCCAGCACGACCACCCCCCAGCACGACCACACCCCACCACGACCACTCCCCAGCACGACCACACCGCCTTGGTTGAGTGGTTGCCTGTCGTCGTGGAATGTTTCGTGGGGTGTCTCGTGGAATGTTTCGCGGGGTGTCTCGTGGAATGTTTCGTGAGGTGTCTCGTGGAATGTTTCGTGAGGTGTCTCGTGGGATGTTTCGTGAAGTGTCTCGTGGGATGTTTCGTGAGGTGTTGCCCAGTTGGGTATCGTGAAAACGTGTCCATGCTCCACATGTCTATATTCCTTTCCGGGTTCGTGGGTCCATCATGTTTTCACAACACATTGCTTCCCACAGGTCCGGGCTCCTTCCCAAGTACCAGCTTGCTGTCCTGGGTCGATCTGCAGGACCCGGTGAGAGCCCCTAGGTGCCGACAACGGCCGAAAACCTCCCGCCTTTTATGATGTTGCTTTTGTATAACGTGTTTTCCCACGCCGCGGGGATGTCAGGTGAGGGGCTGGCACGGGCCTCTGGGCCCAGGCGGGGTCGTGGGGAGGAACCAGAAGGCCGGGGGCTTCTCAGAGGGGCCAGAGGAGCCAGAGGAGCTGCCTCGAAGCAGGGGCCACCTGCGGCAAGAGTCGCCTATTTTTCTGCGGCGCAGCACAGCAAGCCGCGAGGCTGTCGAGCCTGGCTCCCTCCAAAACCCCTCCTCGCCATCGGCGCCCCTTTTCTCGGGATTGCGTGCCGGCGTGGTGCGACGGCCGCGCCAGTGTGCAAAGGAAGGGCGCTCGCCCAAGAGCGGCTCGCTGCGGGGTGCGGGGGAACTTCTTCTTCTGTGTTCCGCCGTTCCTCCTCCACCTCCTCGTCGTCGTCGTCGTCCTCCTCCTCCTCCTCCTCCGCCTTCTCCTCCCCCTCCTCCCCCTCCTCCTCCTCCGCTCCTCCTCCTCCTCGTCGTCCTCCTCGTCGTCCTCCTCCTCCTCCTCCTCCTCCTCCTTCCTCCTCCTCCTACCACCTCCCCTCCTCCCTCCCTCCCCCTCCCCCTCCTCCTCCTCCCCCTCCTCCTCTTCCTCCTCCTCCCTCCTCGTCCTCCTCCTCCTCACTCCTCCTCTCTCCCTCCTCCTCCTCCTCCTCCTCCACCTCCACCCCTCCTCCTCCTCCTCCTCCTCTCCTCCTCCTCCTCCTCACCTCCTCCTCCTCCTCCTCCTACCTCCTCCTCCTCCCCCCCCCCCTCCTCCCCCCCCTCCTCCCCCTCCCCCTCTTCCCCCTCCCCCTCCTCCCCCCTCAGCCTCCTCTCCCCTCCCCCTCCTCCTCCTCCTCCCGCACCCCTCCTCCTCCTCCCCCTCCTCCCCCTTCTCCCCCCGCC